GGGAGGTAACGTTATATGGGGGCTATACCAGAACGTGAACCTATACATACAATTTTTCGCCACCGAAGCTAGAACTAATTATGACCACCAAATATCAATTATTAGACAAATCCCTGAAAAAAATGTTGCAAAAACCATCCAAATACCATCCAAAAAATATCGGGATGTACCGTTATATGGGGGCTACCAAGAGGAGGTCCGATATATTACATTTTCAATACCAACCATCCTAGATACAATGCAAACTACAGGGCCAAATTTTAAAGCACTACGTCAAATAATGTGAGTTATATCGTGATTTCAACAAACGGACAGACGGACATCGTTAAATCGACTTTTTTAGGAATTTTAGGCTGATCACGAATATTCGTACTTTATGGGGTCCGTGACGAATATTTAGAGGTGTTACAAACGGAATTAATATAACCTGGTTTCCATGGTGGAAATGAAAAATGTCAAGAAATCTGGATCCGAAAACAATCTTCTCCATAGGATCATTTGATCTTTCAAAACGCTACTTACAAAATTATTTAAATTATTATTGTATTATTTAAAATAACCCATAATATTGCTTCTTAGCGACTGCAACTATTTTATTTCAGAATTATCAGTGAAAAAATCTTCATAGATAGTCTTTGACAAACTTTGATTTTGGGTGATATTTTTATTATATTGGTTAATTGTTGTAAGACGATTTTGAGCTTTATGTGCACATATCAGGTTAATAGATATTCTTGTAATTTTGTTTATTTACTCAGTATTTAAATTCCACATTGAACAAAGTTTTCATTTATTTTTCTTTAATTGTCCATTTGTGTACCTTTTCTGGGTCAGTAACAGCCACCATTATTCAAAAGTATTCTTTCCGTCTAGTTCACCGATCAAAAATCAAAATAATTTTCTAAATAGTCCATTCAGCGCACATGCACCAATTTCAATTCAATATGTTCTAATTATTATTTTGAATTGTTTTCTTAATCCACTGCGTTCAAGACGATAGTCACAACACAACTAAAACATTTCTTAAGGAAATTGTCTCAAAAATGCCGGCTAAAGTCAACAGCAGTTACTTGCTTCCATCCATTGGGATAAAGTGAGAAGATATGAAACAACGGCTAACACGAGCATGCGACCAATACAGGCTAAACGACCAGACACCATAGTAGCTCACACACCAGAGCCACGCTACGCACACAATTATACTTCAAAGTTGGATTTGGAGTAGCAGTATCCCCACCGTATGGTAATGTCATTGGTAAAACAACAAAACTAACTGGCTGGCTGACTGACTGACTGAGTTAGCAGTTGCAGTCAAGTAGATATGTGGCGATTATCAAAAAGAGATGCGTAGTTTGAACAGTTCTTTACAGCAACAGGTCACTGAATTAGTTCTAAAAGGTCCTTTGGATTTTTAATATCCCTTCTATTTACATGAGATCCATAAAAGTTCATTTTTATATACAGGGTGAGATAAAAAAAACAGCAACAAAGTCAAACGCCATCATTTTTACATTTTTTTTTTAAATTTTATTGAGTGAAGACAAAAAATGTCGGAAATAGCCTCTAATTTTAGAATAAGTTTAGATTTGTTCGAACTGGTCGCCTTTGGCACGAATTATGGCCATCAAATGGCCAATGAAACCGTCACACGCTGACCCAAATGTTGCTCTGCGGTATTTTGGCCCATTCCCGGCGAAGCGCTTGCTTGAGGTGATCGACACTTTGGTATTTTTTAGTGCCACCCTTCCTTTCCAAAATACTCCAGACACAATCGTCCAACGGATTGGTATCCGGAGATTTTGGTGGCCATTGTACGCTGGAAATGAAGCGAGAAACCTCATTTTGTAATCATTATTGGGTGGCGCGTGCTGAGTTCGATGGTGCTGAGTCCTGTTGGAATGTCCAAGGTCTGCGGCCAAAATGTTTGCTTACCCAAGGCTTTAATACACCCTTCAGAATATTTTTGCGATAATATTTGGCATTAATATAAGCCGAGAGCGACCATCGCCTGTTATGGCGGCCCACACCATCACCAACGCCGCTTAAGTTCTGGTGGCCAACCAAAGGTGCACATTCTCAGCTGACCTCTTTGACAAGTAAACACGATAATTTTGTTTGTTTACAAACTGCTGGACAACGAATATTTTTTTTTGGAAGAAAAAAATTCGGCAGTTCTTGTACTTTTTGGAATTTCAATGGTTTACCCCGAGCTCATTTTTCAATATTTGCCGAATGGAATGTTGCGATCTGTTCTGCTCACGAGCCATTTTTCGGCCATTGCGACGCGGATTTAGATAAAGTCGCTTTTTTACTTTTCGAACCATTGACGTCGGGCTACTCTACCAGTATCACGGTAACGAGCGATGGTACGAGACACAAACGATTTATTCGCATTTAAATGCTGGAATGCTCTAGCGATAGCCACTTGTGGTTTTCCAGCCAAATATAAGAAATCACACTATCACGCTTGAATTCCATCACGAAAAACTTTTTTTCTGGAAAATTCTCACCAAAATGCTTTTGTACGCTTGTAAGCAATATAATGAGCTGTCACAGAAACAATTTTAACAGCTGTCAGACGAGTGGCTTAGAAATGGCAACAGTCTGAAGTTGGTTGTAGTTTTTTCTCTCACCCTGTAGTTGAGTTATGCAAAAACTTAACATACCAGATGGCCGTATAAATGACCATCTAAGGTCATCTAAAACATATCTAAAATATTTTTCACTCAATTAAGATTTTCACTCCACATTTATTTTTAATGGCCTACTATCGTTAGCATATCAGCGATAATAAAAACCAAATCGATTAACATTCGGAAATCTATGTAATATGTGGTAGCTTAATCTTAATTGTTTAACATAGATTTCCCCCGAGAAGCCTGCTTTACTGATAAGCTAACCGCAATCGTTAATGAAATTATAGCTTATCGTTTTTATTGCTTAGGAACGAGACCATAAATTTCATGACACAATGCTTTTTTAAGGGTGGCCCTCTTAAAATATTGAGAAATGTTAAGAAAATTTCTAAATTTTCACGTGAACGCTGTGTGTATGGGGAGACGGAATACTCGTACCTTAAGTATTCATATATTAAAAAATATTTTAGACATCTCAAAGATTAGCGCACTCTATTAGGAAAAACGAAATCAAGTTAAAATATAATCACACTTAGCAATTTTGAAGATAACCAACCGGTCATCATGTTGGCATGCCAAATTCCAGATGGGTTCGTGTTAGTGAGACATATAAAGAACAGAGAACGAATGTCGTCATTTATTTACAAAAAAAATGCCGAGGTTGGGGGGAAAGGTAGTGATAGTTAACATTACTCGTTCCCACAATGGAATGGCCCAATCCTCGGTAGAGGATTGTCACCACAAAATATTCTGTGCAACAGTTGGGTTGCTATTAGAACATAATCATTGCTTTGGTTGCATTCAAGAAAGGACTACTTCTCACCAATGCTCAACTTCAGAACGACTAAGATCTGGATCCGATATAGAAGTGTTCCTATGGAAACTGTTTCCACAAAATTTAACACAGATGGATCAAATAGGGATGATGGAATTGAATCCCGGTTATATTTGCATTGAGATGAATGGCTAGCTCTCATATTTGTTGTTGAATCTGGAATATGGCGTCTTCCAAGCGGAAATCCCAGCAATTTTAAAGACATTAAAATTGAGTGGCTCAGGAAAGTTTGTGGTTTTTGTTGAAACAGCTTATTTTGACGCGTTTGTTCTGCTCACAAAGCCAATGCAAGGGCGTATTAAGACGACTGCCCAATTCTGAACGTAGATGGGTCCGTACTATTCTGTCTAGGACGACGAATTTCTCCAATTGCAATTGATGATGAGTACATGAGGCGATCTATTGGCTTTCCCTCTCACAGGCTTAACTGACCGCTTACTCGCATACTACCAACTTGTCGTAGAAGGTTTGTGGTGGATGAGCATAATAATAATTTCATTAGTTTGGAATAATTTTTAATAACAGTTCAGAATAAATATTTAATTAATAGTTCATGACCTGAGATCTTTAAGGAAACATTGCTTATACAGGGTGAGATTAAAAAACTGCAACAAAGTCAAACGCCATAATTTTTACATTTTTTTAATTTTATTGAATGAAAGCAAAAAATGTCGGAAATAGCATCAACTTTTAGAATATGTTTAGATTTGTTCGAATTTATCACCTTTGGCACGAATTATGGCCCTCAAACGGTCACAAGCTACCCGAATATTGCTCTGAGGTATTTTGGTCCATTCCCGGTGAAGCGCTTGCTTGAGGTGATCGACACTTTGATATTTTTTAGTGCCAATCTTGCTTTCCAAAATACTCCAAACACAATAGTCCAACTGATTGGTATCCGGAGAATTTCTTTAGCTCTTTTGAGTCTATTCTTGAGTCAGTTCTTGTACTTTTCGGAATTTTAATGGCTTTACCCCGGGCTCATTACTCAATATTTGCGAGCCATTTTTCAGCCACTACGACGCGGGTTTCGATGAAGTCGCTTCTTTACTTTTCGAACAATTTCTGCTGATGTTGCCGTTTTATTCCGTCACTTCCTCGTTGGGCCATGCTACCAGTATCACGGTAACGAGCGATGGTAAATGCTGGAGTGCTCTAACGATAGCGACTTGTGGTTTTCCAGCCAAACATAAAGAAATCACACTATCACGCTTGAATTCCAAACAACATAATGAGCTGTCACTGGAATAATTTAAAGACCTGTCGGACGAGTGGCTAAGAAATGCCAGCAGTCTGAAGTTGGTTGCAGTTGTTTCATCTCACCCTGTATATATCATTTACTGCGTTTCCCAACAAAAGAATAGAAAAAAAGAAAGCCAACTGAGCCGATTTGGATATAATTTAGGTCAGGTGTCCCAATAGGAAACACAGGAGCTTTTCCGTTTCTACATTCACTACAATTTTTTTTTTTTTGTTGCAAAATGGTCAGGCTTAATCTCTTTATTGTTGTTTTTATAAAAAAAAAAAAAAACAACGTTTGGTTATTAGTGGAAAACGATGGTAATGTTTACGGGGGTAAGGCAGGGAATACCTAGGTTTCGGAAAGAGCCGCCAATCCTCATCAGTTCCCTTGTTTTTGTCTGGGATATTCTCCCCAGAAGTTACTTTAAAAATAACTTCTATGACAAAAAAACATTTTTTACCAAAGTGACGAGATCATAAGCTCAATAGAAGAGGAACCAAAGAATTAAATAAAACTAAAATTATTTTGGAAAATCTTCTAAATCTTACAACCGCACTTATAAACATTTACATCTTTGAATTTTAAAAATCCTGAATCTCGTATAATACATATAAGTCTTCAATTTGGTACGAATTTAAATGAACTTTCGAAGTCTAGAATTGAAGAAGTGCTATCATTTGGTAGTGTATTGATGCATTAGCCTTGATTTTTTAATATTGGAAATAAGAAATCAAAACTTTTGGCCCCATATGTAATAGGCTCAGGGTACTAACCTATCGGCATTGTTATTGTAGCTAACATCAGAAACCTCATGGTATACTCAAGTCATTATGTCTATCTTTAACTAATCGAATAAAGCTTTCCGCCAAACTATTATGTAGACACATCTCGAAAATTCTACTACGGCTTTAATATTTCTTCTCTTCTTCTGAGTTTAGAACATTTTGAGAAAACTCTAACTCTGCGCACTGTAGAAAAAAATTAAGTTAAATTACCTTTTACTCTTAATTACAGTTTTATTTTCTTAATTATGCAATGCCTCATTCGAGCTCTTTTCCAACTGCTCTTCGCATGCATCTTCACAATGATATGCGTTTATCAAGCGACTTAGTTTTTCCAGTCCCGAAACAAATGTGGGCGAAATTATTTTCTCCAATAAGGCAAGTATGTAGAGAGTTATGTGGTCGGCTTGTAGCTGCAGGGGAAGACATTAATAATTTGGCAACTCTCCACACAATGCAGCAAGATATATGAAAAAATTGACTTACCTTTATTTCATAACCTGTAACACCGAACATTCTATGCCGTTGACTTATTGCGGTCATTAAAACATGCATATAAGTCATATTATCCAGTCCTTGTTCTATCAGATTACCATAGACTTGCAATAGTTCTTGTGGATGTCGATGCAGCTGTTGCATATTGAATTTGCCCATTCGATTGCGAAATTTCTCCAACATTTGTTCATGTTCTTGATAAAATCTATGCAAATATATGAAACATTAATTTTTAAGGAATTTTCCTGACAATTAAAACTTACTCCATGAATATTTGTTTAGAATGATAGCCAAAGCGACGTTTAAAATGACGCCATCCATTGCGCAAGGATGCAATTTCTGTGGCAGTAAAACCATTTTCATTTGGCAGTGATTGATTGTCCCGCGGCGGCAGTGGTTTTGGATACAGAATGTGAAAAGACATGAGGGATTTTTTACAGCAAATTTTGTAAAAACAAATTTTCAAATGGCCAAAAGTTATATTGAATCAAACTACACATATGAAGAGTGTCCCTTGTAACTATGTTTGAAAAGAAAAATAGTACCTCTCGATTAAAATAATACTTTTTAATCAAGTAGTTGGGAATATCTTGTTTTGCATTCTTGAGAACTACGAATTAGGATCTTCATTGAGAATACATTTCTCCTTCAACAATTTATAATAAAAATCACCACTTTGTTTTTGTTCAGATGAAATATTTATTACTATAAACTAAGACGAAAACAGAAAAGGATTCAAACAATAAAATGGTAATTAATTATAAATCAAAAGGATGAGGAGGAAATGTGCCAAACCTATTTAAATTTGTTGAAAAGGATTTGGAAACATCAGCAACAAAATAATTTACTTAACAAAAAAATTGAATATTCCGTATGTATTAATAATAATAATAAGGTATAAAAAAACTATGCCTATCACAATGCAATTTAACAAATACTTAAGTCTTTCTTTAAAAACAAAATCACACATATATTCGTATAAGTTGTGAACAATTAATTCTGGTTTTACACATGGGACATTTGTGGGTCAGACGTATGGACATTTTAATACATTCTTCACAAAAGACATGACCACATTTTGTAGAGGTAGGACGGCGTTTCAAACACGATTCCATACAAACAGGACACATGAATGGGGTGTGATTTGAGGATTCAGATTCGTTGTCAGGTGTTGTCTCCTTAATTGGGGATTGTTTATCCTTTTGTTTCGATATGCCACTACTGACACGTCGTCTGCGAACTGGTGGCACCGAAACTTCATTAACATCTTCTAACGCATGATGGCGTTCTAAATTTCTACGTGTCAATTCATTTCGATTTAATGTTGTATTTCGAACAATTGGCACATTATTGTTGGGTGTACATAAATCTATAACGGTTGGTAAATTTGATGATACAACAACCACTTCGTCATCATCGTCGGCTAGCACAATTTCCTCAGTCCTGGTGCCGTTGGAGGTAGGTGTAGAAAACTGGTGATTACTAACGGGTTCATCATCAATTGGTATAACAGATGGTGGCGGATCGTCATAGGTGGTGTCAATGAGTGCCTCATTTAAATCTGTCGGTGTTGCGGATCTACGGTTGGAACATCGGCGACGTCTAGGATTCAATCCACCTCGAGAAGCTTCATTATTATCTGTAGTTGTGCTTGAATTGGATGCTATGAAAGGAAACAAATAAGATGTTTTCAATTAGTACAATATAACTATTTTATTAGATAACACGTTCCATCAATTGACTACTAAATAGCCACCATTGCATATAATTTTGTATTATTCCCACCAAAAAATTATGAGTGATTTCTAATCTTACTGGTATTATTATCGAAATTGTAATACCTTCAGCCATATGACTAAAGAGGTTATATATCATTTTCAAAATATTTCAAAAAAAATGCAATTAATCAAATGCACATGTAGCTTTTCATTCTGCAGGTTTGGTTCAATCGATGGAATTTGATGGACGGAGAAAAATTTGTAATAGATGGAGTTCTTTAGGGTTGAAGCACAACAATGTAAATGAAATTAAACATTTTATGGCAAATGCTTTAGAATCTTTCTATTAATATACAGACAGTTACTATTACCTTTAAACTCATCAAAGTAAACAAAAACTAAGTATTGGAAAAAAGGGGAAAAGATATTGCTTGAATCGAAAATTTTGCATTCAAATGGTTTTGAATCATTCCAATCCTTTTCCATCCTTAATTTTAAAATCATGCACAAAATATAAATTGTATTTAAAGTCTTACCTCTGACTGTGTTACGTTGACGAGTATCTGTTTCTGGATTAATGAAAATGTTTACCGAACGCAAATCCCGATCAACGGTATCACATATTCTATTAACTGAAAGAAGAGAGAAAAATACATTTAATAATAAAACGCTAAAATTTTTTTTTGTAAGAAAAAACTGCAACAAACTTCAGACTGATGTCATATCTAAGCCACTCGTCCGACAGCTGATAAAATCATTCCAGTGACAGCTCATTATATTGTTTACAAGCGTACAAAACATTTTGGTGAGAATTTTCCATAAAAAAGTTATTTATAATGTAGCCCGACATCAAGGAAGCGGACGAAAGAAAACAACAACATCAGCAGAAATGGTTCGAAAAGTAAAGAAGCGACTTCATCGAAACCCGCGTCGCAGTGGCCAAAAATGGCTCGTGAGCTAAACATATCGCAATATTCCATTCGGCAAATATTAAAAAATGAGCTCGGGGTATGGCCATTGAAATTCCAAAAAGTGCAAGAACTTACACCGCTACAGAAAGAAAATACTCTCAAAAGAGCTAAAGAGTTGCTTCGCTTGGCCGAAAGTGGTGAACTGCCGAATTTGGTTTTCTCCGATGAGAAAACATTCGTTGTCCAGTAGTTTGTAAACAAACAAAATGAAATGAAAAGAGGTCAGCTGAAATTTTGCACCTTCGGTTGGCCACAAGAACTCAAGCGCTGGCCATGGTGATGGTGTGGACCGCTCGTATTAATCGACAGTGGCATCAGAATAAATGCCGAATATTATCGCGAAAATATTCTGGAGGGTGTATTAAAGCCTTGGCCAACGGGACTCAGCACCATTGCACTCAGCAAGAGCCAACCAAGAATGGTTACAAAATGAGGTTTCCCGCTTCATATCCAGCGTAAATGGATACCAATTTGGACTATTGTGTCTGGAGTATTTTGGAAAGCAAGGTTGACTCCAAAAAATACCAAAGTGTTGATCACCTCAAGCAAGCGCTTCGCCGGGAATGGGCCAAAATACCGCAGAGCAACATTCGGGCACGGTCACGGTTTCATTGGCCGTTTGAAGGCCATAATTCGTGCCAAAGGTGACCAATTCGAACAAATACTATTTCCGACTTTCTTTCAATAAAATTAAAAAAAAATGTAAAAATTTTGGCGTTTGATTTCGATGTAGTTTTTTCATCTCACCCAGTATATACTATTAGTCTAGAATACCCAATTCTATTCATTTTACACATTCTATTTAATTTAAGGGTTATAACTTCATTATCAAAAATTGTGGTGGGAGTATTACCACGTATAGTTCAATATTGTGAGCATTTTGATGCAACTAATAAATCATATATTTCGTTGGGGTTACAGTCTGGTCTCACTCTTCTTGCTCAGTGAACCCTCATATATTTATTGTTGTACGTAATGAAGAGGATACAAGTTACTCTGGAACTACCGATGCAGTGATCATCTCCGAGTCCGTTTTCTTCGCCTCGCGCCTTCTGCTTTTTTTGGCCAGAGTTTCAATCTCCGCGTGGACAATGCTTGATTCCGCAGTTAGTGTGACAGTTGACGCTGTCTTTCCACCTGTTGGAATTTTTTTTCTTTCAGGCACATTTTAATGGGGATAAAATCCCTCTTCGTTACCTGAGAAGGGACTGGTAAATATATTGATTTATACTGTCTTTAGTTTGATGAAACCACTTGCGTCTCTGCAAAGAATGTGGGGAGAGGCGAATCTGCAAATCTACACCTCAGTCTGTTGAGGTGGCAGACTTATACCTATTGCAGGCATTTTAAGGTCGCTAATAAATTCACCTCCTCAAGACAAGGATTACGGCCACTCGGTCCCAGAACCCCTCCCTGGATACCGCTGAGCTGTCCGCGACCGTTTATATATGAGCGTTTATTTTAATGAGCGTTCTGATATCCGAAACAAGTGTGCTTCAACGATCAGAGGCCTCTCATTCCATAATGAATTTATAACGTGAAGATGAAAGCTTTCAGAAAAGTAAAGGAAGCCCTTAAATAATCACGTTGAAAAGAAATGGTTGGATTATAATCGAGACGTTGCCTGTTCATTGTCTTCATCCAGCCTCTTAAGGCTTTTAAACATATTCCACATTCTCCACAACCTACAACAACAATTATCTCCTTCTTACCATTTTCAAGCCACATTGATCGATGCCAGTAAAACCCCTACAGCAGCTTTTACCTCGATTTTTTCTTAAGGAAAGTGAGGATACATTGCAAGTAGATTCTTCGCCCAAAATCTTCGTAGCTTGTTCTCGGTAGAAATCTCGAATTCTTTGCGAGTTGAGGCCACTGATGTCTTTTTACCCATATTATTGCAATGTCGCGACTCGCAAAAAAATATGGCACGGCTGATTTAAAATGTCAAACAGCTTTGAATTTCATGGAGGATACCTATCTAGACAGTATATAGTACTGCAGTATAGATTATAAAGAAAATAGTATCTTGATGTATGAGTATCTGACTAAAGCTCTAGTTATGCGCACCATCCCCGTTACCAGGCCCATGTGGATATCAAATATGGCGAAATTGATCTATCCTGTAATCTATCATCCTTTTCTAGGACGATAAATGTACGCTTCCTTCGTTTCTATATGAAGTAGCATGTTTTATACGGCGCTATATAAAATATATGCAAGTATACAATATAATGTGTAGTTTGAACGTAGGAAACAAAGAAGCTAAACATCGGCTTGCAATTAAAACAATTCTGCAATACCTAAACACGTTCACTGGCTCTATTTTAACGTGTTTCGGCATTTCCTCTTGATATAAATCATTTTTTATCCCTTTTTTTACTAAACTCGAAATCGAATACAAAATCGGTGCAAGCAACAGCTCAATGACTAAAATCACTTAAGGTGAACTGCCGAATTTAATTTTCTCCGATGAGAAAACATTCGTTGTCCAGCAGTTTGTAAACAAACAAAATGATCGTGCTTACTTGCCAAGGAGGTCAGCTGAAATGTGCACCTTCGGTTGGCCACAAGAACTCAAGCGCTGGCCATGGTGATGGTGTGAACCGCCATAACAGCCGATGATCACTCTCCACTCGTATTAATCGACCGTGACATCAGAATAAATGACGAATATTATCGCGAAAATATTCTGGAGGGTGTATTAAAGCCTTGAAGCAAACATTTTGGTCGCAGACCTTGGTCATTCCAACGGGACTCAGCACCATAGCACTCAGCAAGCGCCAACCAAGAGTGGTTATAAAATGAGG